TATATCAGTTCTCATTTTGCATCATTCTAGAAGGGCAGTCCCTCGGAGACCTAGAGGGCCCTATACCGTAAGCTATGAAAAAATTTGCAACGGTTTACCCGCCTTTAATTCCTTGAAAAATGGAATTCTAATGCTAAAGTTTTCGTTGGTCTCCCTGCACCCATCTTATCACATATATCTACAGTTGCAGCGGTAGAATTTGTCCAAAATTGCGGGATTGTGGGGATTCGCGGGATTGTCGAGATCCGCGGGATTCGCGGGATTAGCGACTTCGCAGGATTTGCGGGATTCGCGGGATTTGCGGGATAAGCAGGATTTAGCTATAACTTCTTTTAAAACAGCTTTATTTGTAATCTGCGTGAAGATTTGGCTTCAGCTTGATGAGACGAATCTTCTGGTTTACAATATGTCCGTAATTCATAGTGACACGGTAGACATATGGTGATACCTTGTTATTTTCTATGTTAAGGCTTTTGTGAACATCTATCACCGTGTAAATCGCGAATAGGAGGTTCTGGTACGAAGTTCCCATTATCGAAAACTATCGCAAAAAAATGGGCAGTTTTTATTTACCCTTATCACTGATACAAGCATTTTATCATTTATCACTGATAATATCATATTTTTGGATCATTTTTGGCACATGGTAAGAAAAGTAGTGGAGGAAACGCTGTGTGAATTTCTATCGCTCTTTCTCTCATTATAAGAGATCTACAGGATTTCCTAGTTCTATTGTTCGGTCAATTGGTAGATCCCTCGCTGCAGCAATCGATCGATTTCTCATCGGCACATGCCATTGCTGCCAGTTCTTACAGTCTGCCCCAATCGGGATCAGGCCGAACCGTCGGCTGAATTTGCGCGCTCGCAGCGCTAGGGGTTTGCGCTGCATACGCGCGCTGTCGCAGAGAGCGAAGAGATTGAGGAGAGAGCAGACTAGCTAGACGCAGAAGAGGCGCGAAACCATCGCGACGCGCACTCCCGCCAAGCCAATTTTGGCCTGGTTAGGATTGGGGCAGACTGTACCTGAAATGGCATTTTCGCTTCATCTCGCTTCACGCCGAAACCTGGGCTGAAATTCTGCACCTATATGGAAGATGAACGTGGGAATCGACCGCGTGAATTTAAGCCATTCTTATCTTTCGTTATCATTGATATCACCATTTTATCATTTATCACTAATGATATCACAAAACTGGATCATTTTTGACATACAGTAAGGAATGTACTTTAGGAAACGCTGTGCGAGTTTTTACCGCTCTATCTCTTATAGAATGTGATCTACAGGCTTTTTCGGTTCATTTGCGCATTCGGTGCAGTAGATGAATATAAATTGTAAATCTATAAATTGTAAATTGTATAAACTTGTAAACTAATAACTAACTATTGTAAACTCTATAAATTGTCTATAAATTATAAATTGACCATTAACCAATGTGAATAGATTTGATCAGTATGTCATACAACCACTCAGGGAGGAATTTCGACGAAATACGCGATTTTTACACTTTAAGCGAAATTCATGAGGACGTGTTTTCGTAGACTCGTAACTCGGAGAACTTTATAGACTGGAGCCTGGGCATGCACCTTTTGATAGCACAGTTTCTAGTGATTTTGACTTAGAAAAGCAAGCAGGCAAGTTTCCTGACAAATTCGCGAAAAGTGCAGGCAAATTTATGAACTTTCATGACTCAGTTACAGTCACCTCACAATATCTCTACAAAAAGACCCTGTCTTCTTCAAAGACCACTGTTTTCGTAAACAGCGTGTTCGAAAACCTCTATAAGCGAAGTTTCCTAACAATTCAAGAGCATCAACATTTTGACCAATATCCATCGGCGAGCTTCCAGAGCGTAAAACGAGAGAAAATGAAATAACCCGAACATCCCGGGAAACTTGCTCATAAAGGTTATCTGGCCTGCTGATTTCGAAATTCACATCTGCTTAGCAAGATAGCTTCGTTTTCTAGGGCTGTGGCAAGTAGAATTTCCTGCGACAAGATTTTTCCCAATTCACCAATTCTTCCTTCGAAAGAAGTTTGCGAAGACTATTTAGCGATCATTAATCTGCAAGGGAGGTACTACCGAATCGCCCTTACAATAGCCTACTAGGGGCAATGCGCGCTACTTTACATCTTTGCAAAGACGTCCGCAGAAAGATTCACGAATACTGAAATGGGAATATCAAGGGCATGCTGCATATCGAGAGGTTCGCCTTAACGAGCTGAGCACGATGCTTTTTTCGGATTCAGAAAACATTCATTTCGAAGGAAGTTATGACAAATAGAACTTAAAAACGCGTAATTTTTCCAGAATTCACCAACGCTTATGTTTCTTCTAGAAAGGAATCCGCAGCTATACTTTAGTGCGCTATAATTTACAAGAACCGTACTATCGAATATTACTTATCAGTATCCTTTATGTTAGATAGGCGCTGCGTTACATCCTCGCAAACAGACCTCCGCAGAAGAATTTGAGAAAAGTGGAAACGGAATCGGATTCAGAATTTATTCATTCTAAATGGAGTTATGGCGTTGTGTAGTTAGCGTGATTCGCGTGATTCCGCGGAAATCCCGGAATGTCGCAAAACTCCCGGAACGTTGCGGACTTTCGCAAAACCCCCGGAATTTCACGACATACAAAGAAAATCTGCATTTTTGTGAGCTGTTGTAGATAGCAAGAAATAGAGTAGAGCGTGAAAGAATTCAAAAAGACTTCGATAGGGAGGCAACAGCCTATGTACGCGCTCTCGTTCGGCGTGTGGACTCTGATGGAAAGATGCTCGAGCACGCGTTTGCACCGTTTCGCACCTTAGATCGATCACCTTTGTGGATCTGGATTTGTATGTCATACGCAGAAAACAGAAGTGTTCAGCTCATCTTTGAAACTCCTGTCGACAGGCGACTCCGCTCATTCACAATTTATAGAGCGGTGAATGTTTTGAAAGAGCATCTATCTACTGCACCGAATGCGCAATTGAACCGAAAAAACCTGTAGATCACATTCTATAAGAGACTAGTTGGCAAACCCGGCTCCGCCTAGGCCTGTCAATAATATATTTGTAATCAGCATGCTCGATTACCCCCCTGTGCCAACTCCCAGCCCTGTAGCTCAAATTTTGCAAAAAATCGATAAAATCGATATCGATCGATAACGAAAAGTAGCCTATGACACGCTCCCTGCCCCGAAGTATATGTGTGCCAAGTTTGGTCCAAATCGGTTCAAAAATAAAAATTTCTATCCCGCACATACGTACAGACAGACAGGTAGACATTCAGCTTTATATATAAGAAAGAGCGGTAAAACTCGCACAGCGTTTCTTAAAGTACATTCCTTACTGTATGTCAAAAATGATCCAATTTTGTGATATCATTAGTGATAAATGATAAAATGGTGATATCAATGATAACGACAGATAAGAATGACTTAAATTCACGCGGTCGATTCCCACGTTCATCTTCCATATAGGTGCAGAATTTCAGCCCAGGTTTCGGCGTGAAGCGAGATGAAGCGAAAATGCCATTTCAGGTAAGAACTGGCAGCAATGGCATGTGCCGATGAGAAATCGATCGATTGCTGCAGCGAGGGATCTACCAATTGACCGAACTATAGAACTAGGAAATCCTGTAGATCTCTTATAATGAGAGAAAGAGCGATAGAAATTCACACAGCGTTTCCTCCACTACTTTTCTTACCATGTGCCAAAAATGATCCAAAAATATGATATTATCAGTGATAAATGATAAAATGCTTGTATCAGTGATAAGGGTAAATAAAAACTGCCCATTTTTTCGCGATAGTTTTCGATAATGGGAATTTCGTACCAGAACCTCCTATTCGCGATTTACACGGTGATAGATGTTCACAAAAGCCTTAACATAGAAAATAACAAGGTATCACCATATGTCTACCGTGTCACTATGAATTACGGACATATTGTAAACCAGAAGATTCGTCTCATCAAGCTGAAGCCAAATCTTCACGCAGATTACAAATAAAGCTGTTTTAAAAGAAGTTATAGCTAAATCCCGCTTATCCCGCAAATCCCGCGAATCCCGCAAATCCCGCGAAGTCGCGAATCTCGCGAATCCCGCGGATCCCGACAATCCCGCGAATCCCGACAATCCCGCAATTTTGGACAAATTCTACCGCTGCAACTGTAAGACAGCTAAAGTGAATCTATCTATGTCCATGCGAGCAAAAAAAGCGTTTGACATCTGGCTTGATTTGCGTCATTCCATTTACAAAATGAGATATCGAGAAAAACGAGTGTGCAAAAGCAAACGAGCATAGGTTTATAGACTTTGCAAGGCAATTTCATGGCATGGTAGTTCAGTTAGCTTTGGTACGTTAAGCCCACTCTAGTCCGTTCTTTCCTTAAAAGGCAAAATCGGCCATTAGAGGCTTGGAAAATGTTCTGAGGCTGCGCAGAAGCTTCAGCTTGGTCTCAGAACTCCTTTGCAGAAAATTTTGCAGGATTTTTTTCATGTGCTTTGAGATGGTTCATCTGTTGTGAAAAAAGCGGATTTTAGACTTTATATGAATCATGGTATCTGATTTTCCTTAATGGCTCTTGGTGGATTGATTTTTGATCCATGCAATGCCAATTCCTCCAATATAACATGATTTTAGCCTCCGATCCCAAAGCAAATCCGCTCGCTGGGGTGCTCTGATCTCCCCTCCCATAAAATTCAATGTGTGATGCTAGCTTTGCTTTATAGTTTTTTTTTGAGTACAGAGGCTGAAAACCTTTGGCTTTTGCTTTCGCGCTGTCCGCAAATTACCGTAATTAGCAAAATTTTTTCCTCCCTAGACAGGTTTTATGCTGATTTGTTGCCTCTATCCGACACATCCAGCAAAATCGCTATTTCCTTTCCATTTGCTAGAAAGAGCTATGTGCTCTTCGTATCTTTGGAATCCTATAATTTTTCCCAACCATATGACGCATCTCAAATTATCGAATCCGGTGCTCGTTCCACTTTAACTGAGCATACTCTCTTTCAGATGCGTTCATCATCTATTCGAAGCTACTCGTCTGGATATTCGTCCAAGTATTCCTCCAATCATACGTTCGCTTTTCTACGCATGGAGGCACCACCGAAACCACCAAGGTTGGTTTATTGTTTTTTGTTGATGGGAAAATAATTGAGCTTTCTTGTTTATTACTTGTAAAAAACAACCCAAGTGAGGATAAATTTTGTCAATGATTTGGCAGCTACGCCAATTATATTCTATTGTTATTTTGACGTGAAAAAACTTATTTAGAAGTATCTCTAATATTATCTTCAGTTTTTTCTACCAATATCTGCATCTGCACATATAAGGAGATCCTTGAGACGCCGGTGTGGCATCAGCGTCCCGTTAAGGGGAGTAGTGCCAAAGTGAAAGGAAAAATCTGAGAAGAAGTACATGGAAAGGTAGTGAAAAAATTATAGAAACATAAAATTTGGATTATGTTTTGAATGTCGATGAATTGTTAGCTATGGATGCATTTGCGGCATTGACAATCCGGTGGATAGCTCCTGTTGCTTGCGTAGTAAATCTAAATTTTTAGGAATCTTTTAAAGTTTCTCAGATCTAAATAGACTTACTAGGGAAGTGCCGCAAGTCGCAGTGGCCTTTTGGTATGAGATAGAGTCCATCTGCGCTTACAATACTCTAAATATGTAATGTAAAATATGTATTGAAGTACCCATAACTCTCGACCCACAGTCACTCTGCAGCTAAGGAAGCCTGTTTTGAAATCAACGTTTCGAGCTGCTTCGGATGGTTTTCTTGTTAGTCTAAGAGAAAATATTAACCTAATAAATGTGTGATCAAGTCGATTCTTAGCTTAATTTGTGTTTATACATCAGACGTAACTTTCTTATCGGTGGCTGTGTCGCGTATGAAGTTCTGTAAATCTTCCCTCAAGTACTAGTGATGCCTGGAAAGGATGAAACTAACAGTGTAATAAAAGCTAAAAAGCAGTCGTACGAAGAAAAAACCTTTGAATACAAGATCCAGGACTTTACGCGCAGTGTAATGCTGTGTGCACCCTTTCATACTAAAATTCTGCTGAAATTCCGCTGAACATAGTAGGATTGTCTACCCTAATTTCACGCGTATGAGGCCCACTTTTTCGAATTTTCAAGCGAGCCGCTCAGCCGCTTCACTAAATTCCGGAAAGAAATCCTTACATCGCACGATTCTCTCAAGCAATATACAGCACTTTATAGGGTCCTTTGGTTGTAAAGTCCTTTGACGTGTCTGGGCTGGTCGATTTTGAAAAAAAATCCCCCGCGCCTTATACACGTGAAATTAGGGTATCAAAAACTCTCAAAAAACGTGTTTTCATGTGTTATGCTCAAATTTGGGGTAAAACTTTTACATTAAACAAAAGGTGGTTTGTGATTAATTGCTCTCGTATAAATTGCGAAATCATCTTTAGTGCAAGGAAATAAAGTAAAAAAATATTCCCTTGTACGGTGGAACGTTACCACTGCCCAGAAGTACATACTCTTGAATTTCTCCCACAGTAGTGTCGTAGAGGTGGCTTGGTTGGGTGAGCGACAGAAGGAAAGCTTTCGCTGAACTACTGTAATGACTCATCACGTCATTTTCACCAAGGTAAATAAATACGAAGCATGCAGACTCGTAATCACTTGGTTTTTTCATTAGTTTTTGGTTTTATAAGGCTGGACCTCAGAATATGGAAAGTTGTAGTAGGGGACTAGAAATTCATAAACACTTTTAAATGCTTGTATGACGTAAGCATCTTACGCATCCTAGGAGCACTTTTTTTGGCAAGCTCTTGAACAAATATCAAATTTGTAAGCCTTACATGCTGCGAAACATATCATAATTTTTTTAATGGGAATATTCTCACGAGAATGCGAGAGTATATGTGAGAAATCGATAGGCTATCTTTGACACTCCTGCGGTACCGCAGCAAAAACTTTACCATAAAATATCGGGATCTAATTTGAGACGGATTAATTTTTATTCGACATGAAAATCCATGTTTTTGTGTTAAACAATATTTAGTAGATGTTTTAGCAATCATCCGAAGAAAAGTCATTACCAACAAACGATATGACTCAAGTACTTACTATTAGATCAAACAATTTCGTTGCAGTTGTTACAAATTTTTGGAACTTCAGTCTGTGGCTCATGTATTTATTAGGTTGGCACATAAGTTTTGCAACTTATTTCGTAACTTTTCTCTTTTTGACTGTGACGCATGCAGTTTTGGATATGATTTATAAATGTACACAAACAATTCGATTTTTAGTAGCGATGTGGAGAAAATTTACGCAGTCTCGAAAATGGTAAAGTCGCAATTTCAAGGGTCTTAAAACCAAAAATAAAGCCGCCCTCAGCCTAAATCAGACACATGAAGCCGAAACTGTACCCAAATTTTTGATCGAGGGGTTTCTAAAAATCCATGAAGTTTTGGCTTGATGCGTTGACCTGAGATTGACAACGACTTTATTTCTTGGTTTTTCGGCCCTTGAAATTTCGAATTTAACCAGCTTTGGAAAAATGCATAACTTCTCCACGTCGCTATCAAAAATCAAACTGTTTGCATATATTTGTAACCTTCTACTCAATCTACATTAACACAGTCAAAAAGAGAAAAGTTACAAAACTAGTTGCGAAACTTACGTGCCCACCTATTATCAACTTGACGATTTGGCACTTTGATTGTTCTCAAGACTGACAAGTTTTTTCGGTTCAGTAGCATTCAGGTAGTGTCGTAGTCGTATGACTTTGATAAGATTCTCATTCGCTTGTTTGGTCCCCGAAAAAGCTGCATTTATTCTGTGTCCTACTAATTTTCAATTACCTTCACAAAGCTTATAGCGGTTAATTAGAGATATGCTGGAAAAGGATCGGCCATATGTCGCAAATTGTATGTTTATCATTGGCCAATTCGCGGTTTCTATGGAAAGGAAAAATCCACTAGCTAATAAGTAGAGCTCTTCAAAGTACTACCCAAGCTTTCACAAGCTCTTGTCCGATAATACGAAAAAGCAGATTTGATGTTCCAATAGAGTGCCGGTTACATGTTGCACTTTTTCGTCAACTCGATTACAAACCTCGACGGTGTAGTTCTTGATGTTTTGTTCGCTGAAGTTGGACAATTTTGCATTCTCTTCTCTTATTTGCAAGGAATCTTATATATAAAGCTGAATGTCTGTTTGTCTGTATGTATGTATGTATGTATGTATGTATGTATGTATGTATGTATGTATGTGTGTACGTATGTTCCGAATAGAAAATTCCATTTCTGAACCGATCCGGACCAAACTTGGCACACATACACTTCGGTCCCCGGCGGGTGTCATAGGCTACTTTTCGTCATCGATCGATATCGATTTTATCGATTTTTATCGATTTTTTTGCAGAGTTCACCCACGGGGCTGGGAGTTGGCACAGGGGGTAATCGAGCATGGGGATTCCGAATACAATATTGGTTTTCAGGATTATCGATTACTTTTATCGATTTTATCGATTTTTTTGCAAAGTTTGAGCTACGGGGCTGGGAGTTGGCACAGGGGGTAATCGAGCATGCTGATCATCCCCAAGGGGGGTGATCAGCATGCTCGATTACACTCCTGTGCCAAATTCCAGCCCCCTAGCTCAAATTTTCAAAAAATCGATTAAATCGATAAAAGTAATGGACGATCCTGAAAACTAATATTGTGTTCGTAATCAGCATGCTCGATTACCCCCCTGTGCAAAATCCCAGCCTCGCATGTCAAAATTTACAAAAAATCGATAAAATCAATAAAAGTAATCGATAATTCTGAAAACTAATATTGTATTCGGAATCCCCATGCTCACTTCCCCCCCCCCCCCTGTGCCAACTCCTAGCCCTGTAGGTAAACTCTGCAAAAAAATCGATAAAAATCGGTAAAATCGACATCGATCGATAACGAAAAGTGGACTGTGACACCCGCCGGGGCCCGAAGTGTATGTGTGCCAAGTTTGGTCCGGATACGGCGGAGCCGGGTAAGCCAGCTAGTTACACATAAAGTCGAGTGCATTGGATTTATCACTATTTAGAGCTATTATCAAGATTTAAAGTCATTGAGACCTAAGAAAATCCGAAATTTTGGTGGAAATGTATGATCACCTCTCAATATCGCCACTTCTTCACCGAAAGATGACCCACTTTTTTTCACATAAAACAATATTTTTCAAAAAATTGAACTCTACATACTTCTTTGTACTCCCCATCTCGTTGACACCAAAGTTCTATAGAAATGACTAGAAGAAAATGAAGTCGAGTAAACACTGAATTGTAAGGTTGATCCTAGACTTCTTGTTATATTTTGTATTTTGCAATTTTTGATTTTTAATTTGCATTTGTACTTTTATTACTATTTCTTCCATTGCAGATCCCCTAGATTATTTGAAGTTGGATAGAGTTGCTTTTCAAGATTCAAGGAAATTTTCTCCTTTAAAAAAATGAATTTTTACTCTTGAACGATATTTACAGTCCAGTTCGTGAACTTCAAGAATCCCTGGGCCGACCTAACAGAAAAATATGATCAAGTAGAATATGAATGAAATGAAAATTGAAAAAATATCTAGTAGAAGAATCGACTGTCGGCAAATTTAATATCTCTTTGAAAAGCTGCAAACACTCCCCGTAAAACTCATTTATTCTTCATCTCACGGCTCTCCATTGAGCGAATCCCATAAGGGTTTTTCTCGTTCTCTCTTCATACTTCTTCTATCTAACATATGTGACTGGCGCCCATAAAATATTCTGTGGAAACATTATTGGAGTCGTTACTAGTTACTGTCGATTAGTCACGTCGCTGTCATTGATTAGTGACGAGCCTTTTCACTGTTCAGCTGAAAATTTCCAGCACTTTTCCCGAAATTTTCTTCCTGAATTCGATTTTTTCTGGAGATCCAGTAAGTTCAGAGCTTTTGGTGTTTTTTGATCTACCTATAGAGATTTTTTTTCGAAGAACTGAATTCTGGGGATGTGGGTGACAGTGGACTACTACGATGTCAACAATAGGGTCGTACGAGTAGAGGAGTAAGTGTGATTTGTTTTGAATTTTTACGCTGGTAAATTCGATCATTTTAATTTCTGGATATTTAACTTTTT